AAAACATGACTGTTGTGAGAAAAAGAAAGTTATGTAGATGATAATATACAAAGGCTTGCCAGTTGAGTTCAGGATTTGTCAAATAAGAAATTAAGACCTGTAAGTTATATAATATTGTACATTGACTACACTTTAGTTTAAAAAAGATATTTAAGTAAATAAATGATGTATGAAATAAGCTACAAGGATATATATTGTACAATACAGGGGATGTAGCCAATATTTTATAATAACTATAAATGGAGTATAACCTTTAAAAATTGTGAATCACTATATTGCACTTGTAACATATAATACTGTACATCAAATATACCTCAATAAAAAATATGTTTTTAAAGAAATTAAGATGCATTAGTTTGGACCCTGGGTGGGTACACCTTCTGGGATCTAACTGATGACCGCTACACTCTTGCCCCCAATAGTTACTCTTTCTTGAAGGAGGCCTTTGCCTCTGCCAGTGTTGTGCCTGCCTCGAGCCCTCCCCTCCCCCTTAAATGGTCTTTCCTAGGTCATCTTTCTAAAACAGCCCTGAAGTAAAAAGAATAAATGGAGTTATCCTGCTGCATCACTTAAGAGCTGTTCAAACTTGCTGAGCCCCATTGTTCTCATCTCTGCCTGCTTTGAGTGTTTTTGTGAAGATGATACACAACATATGTAAGGCACCTACAGAGGGCCGGCACACAGTCAGTGTCCACACGTAGCAGCTGGATGACACTATGATTATTCCTGAAACCTTTTCTGTTCCCATCCTGGACACCCTCCTGATTTCCTAATCTCGGGAAAAAAAAAAAGAAAAAAAAAAGCAATGGCTTGAAACAGAATTTGGAGAATTTTCCCCCTAAATGTAATATCAAGTTTCTAAGAAACAATTCAAGTCTATCAAGATGATTTATAGGTACAAAACCTTCTATGATGCAAGTTAGAAGGTAATTGAGAAAACAGAGTATTTGTATTTGTAAGTTACTTACTATCATGACCTGGCTTTAGACTAAGGATAATATTCAATTCTGCTCATTTTTAATGCTAAATATATTTTCACATTTGTGTTCACATAAAGTATCATGATACTACACACTCTCTAATTTTGTTCCTCAATTTCTTTCTGCTTTTTGACTTTGTGTATTATCTAACTATATCTATTTTATTTAATTTATTTTTATTTTGGGGCGATTAGGTTTGTTTGTTTGTTTGTTTGTTTTTATTTTTATTTTTTAATGGAGGCACTGGGGCCTGAACCCAGGACCTCGTGCATGCTAAGCACACAATCTGTCACTGAGCAATGCCCTTCCCCCTAACTATGTCCATTTTAGAATGTCACATTCAGGGCAACAAATAAGTGTTTCCTTGAACTAATTTGTCTGTAAAAATCCGGTAGAGTGCAGTGTAGCACAATGGGCACTCATAACTCTTTTTGGTTTCTATGGACATTATTGCTGACTTAGTTCCTCTGGCTCCTGCTATAGTCTCCCACAGAAGCACTAAGACCCTGAAAAAGGGGTAGGGCATAGCTCAAGTGGTAGAGTACATGCTTGGCATGCACGAGGTCCTGGGTTCAATGTCCAGTACCTCCTCCAATAAATAAATAAGTAAACCTAATTACCTCCACCCCAAAAAATAAATAAAATAAATAAATAATTTATTATTTTTTTAAAGACACTGAAATAAAAGGACAAGGAAACTGGGGTCAGCAGGTATTAAAGGAACATGGCACATGATAATATTTACTAACCAGATACAAATTTAAATGCTAGAGAAGTGATTAAAAACAAAACACTCATTTCATTAGCTACGTATGTCCCCATTAGAGAAGATGAGCACATTAAAAAAAAAAGTGTTTCTAAAACTTCTCTATCTGCAAGGCTATGCTAAAGGATGAGTCACTGAAATGGATTGCCACCTCTAAGTACCTGAGTGAAAGGAAGACAGAGTCCCTGCACACAAGGAGCTTACAGTGCGTGTGAGAATGGAATGTCTAAAGAACAAAGCAAAACATACACAAGTGCCGAAAAATATGGTACAGACTAAAAAAATCTTGAGGAGTCAGTTCAAAATGATGGAAAGGTAAAGAGAAGGAAATCATGGGAGAGGGGGTCTCATCGAAGAAAAACCTCCAGTTAAGCCTTGAGCAAGGTATAGAATGAACTGCTTGGGTGTTAAGAAGTCATGACAAATGAGCGAAGAAGCAAACATTATAGGCGTTAACAGGGTCCATGTGAGAGGTCAGAGCAAAAGGGCTGCTATAAAAGGCACGGAAGGCTGACAGAGGACTTTGAAAACCACGTTAAGGAAACTCTTAGAGCAGGGGTCACCAAACCTTTCTCTGTAAAGGACTGGATGGTAAATAATTTAGGCTTTGCAGGCCATGTGGTTTCCGACATAGCTACTCAACTCTAAAGCAGCCACGGACAATACGTAGACAAATGAGTGTGGCTGTGTTCCAATAAAACTTTATTTATGGACACAGAAATGTCACAAAATATTACATTTAATAGTTACACTAAAAAATATAAAAGCCATTCTTAGCTCATGGGCCATATAAAAACAGGTGCCAGGCCAGACTTAGCCTATGGGCTATAGTTTGCGGACCCCTGTCTTAGATACCTAAAGTGGGAACAGTTAAAGATTAGGAGACTTTCATCCTGGAGAGAGTTGATGAGAATGAGTGTTGTGGATATGAAGGTTCAACATCCTGGAGGAAGGACTGATAATAATTCTTACTAAATATGGGGGCTAGAGATATTGTTTAAATACAACCTGAAGAGTACAAACCTGAGGGTAAGAAGATGGTACCACTGACAGAATGATAGAAATGAGGAGGCCAAGTGGAGGCACCAGCGTGTTTGAGAGTTTGAGACGATGTGTATTTATGTAACATGTTAAGCTTCAAACTGATGGCAGCATCTTTAAATGGAATGTTCTGAAAGCAACTGACAAGGACTGAAAAACAAAAACAAGAGGAAGGTCAGCGCTGGAACGCAGATTTGGAAACTTTAGCAGGAGGTTATAGTTGAACCTCTGAGAGTGAGTGAGCTCTCCAAGAAGGAAGTACAAAGTCCTTGACAAAGGCCAAGGACAGCACTTCAAGCCAATTCATAGAAGAGGCTTCATTAAAAGAGAATGGTCAGTGAGGTGGGAGAAAAACAGTGTTACGAAAGCCAAAAAGAAGGTCCAGAAAGTGGATCTAATCAACTGTGACAAGTACAGCAGAATGGTTAAAAAAGATGAAAATTAAGGAAATATATTTTATTCGTCTGTGATGTCACTGGCAATGACCAGACAGGTTTTGTGGGGGGGGGGGGGTTGGTACTGAAAGAAATACCATGCAGTAAATGAAAGAGGAATTGATGGAGAGAAAATGGAAGCAATACACGAAATCAAGTTTTCTAGAATTTAATTATGAAAGGGAGGAAATAGGAAGTTGGAAAGGGTTCTAGAGCTTTGGTATATTTTAAAAGCAGAAAGAAAAAAGGCCAGTGAAAAAGTAAAGGATGAACATATTAGAGGAGGATTTAAGTTTTCTTCCAGCAAGAATCCTCCCACTGTGAGAAGGAAGGAAAGCGAGCTCTTCCCTAAGACTGCAGAGAAGAAAAAGATGAATGCAGGGGCAAAGATTCATTGACCTGGACAGAGGAAGACAAAGATGTACGCTCTTGAGACACTCTTTTTACTTTAGAGACAGATTTTCCTCAGTACGAATAATTCAAATTGATAACAGACCTTTATTATAGATGGCGCTGCATTATTTGTTGTTATAATAGGTTCAATTCTTCTTTTCTACCACTCCAGACCTAGCATAATTAATTATTCTTGCTTTTTTCCATCATTCATTAAGGTTCTAGAGCCTGTTTAAACCTGCCAACATTATTAACATAACTAAACTTTATTCTGGTATATTTTTTACCCCTCAAAATGTATATAACTGTTTAATTTAATATCCATGAGGCAATCCATGGAATGTTGGCAAGGGAATGGTTAACTGTAGTTAATTATCCAGGCAGTGCCTAGACCATTATTATTAAACATTCATACTGCCAACTTTTGCAATTTCAGATTGCTGATTGATTTTAAAACCAAGAGTTCGCATTTTTTGTTCAGGAAAGAAAAAATAAGAATAAACTAAGACTGACCACCATAGAATAACATATATGCCTCCTGCAAAATGCTATCAACCTTTAGAATTGAGTGTTTAGGAAAAAGATCTTCAGTCTTATGATGAGATGCCAACAAAAAAATGACAGCAGCTGTCAAACTTAAGTTTGCGTAAAATCTATGCGTTTGGGGTTCATTCAGTATTGGTCTAACTTTAATATGTGTGAAAGGAGCCTAGAAGGTGTACTTTTCAATAATTTTGATATTTTCATCATAAATATTTAGATAAAGAAGACAGAAAACTCATCTTCTTTAGGCAGACAGTTCAGGGTAAGACTGTCCATAATCTTAACTATCCCTTTCCTCCTAAGTCACATGTATTTTTGTTAGAACTAAATATATCATACTCTTGGCAGCTCCCTTGCTTGCTTCCAACCCATTCTGAGTTTGAATTTTCTGCATGACTGAGTTCACCTCCAAACTATGAAAAATAAAAGTTTCCTCACTATTTAATAGATGTGTAGGATACAGTATCACTCAGATGATATATGTTTTTATAATAGGCCCTTGACTCATTCAGGGTCATGCGAGCAATGGACTTTCTTAAATGTGATTACTGAAAGCAGAGCAATTCATACCATACTCTTCATTTTAAGAAGTAAAAAAGGAAAATGGCCACTTAAAGCTCGTGCTGTGCTGGTCAGCCCTGTCTCCACGTGAAGGTGCAAAATGGCTCACCTGCTAGAAGGTCCTCTCAAAACCTATTTCTATCAGAAATGAGCTCCTTATCACACATGAGCAGCAAGCAAATACTATAAAGCAGTATGAACTATTTAACATTTTCAAAGACTGACCCATCTAAGGATCTACAAAGAAAATCTAAGACCTTAGGGATCTCAGGGTTTTTAGGGTTAAAAAAAAAAGAGATGCAGACCCAGACAGCAGAACAAGGTCCTAAGAAAAGGATTCCATGTAATCCGAAAATTCCAAGTGTATTTGTATAGAAGTACGCGAATTTTCAAATCAGTGCAGCATCTTGTTTTTTATTTAAAGGTTTAAGGTTTTCATATACATGTACCTGACGTAAAGGACTCTTCCTGCGTTTCTGGAGAAACTGAAAAATGAAAAACTAGCTCCTAAAGCTGTACCATGTGCGCAGCGAGCCTTCGGTAAATGTTAGCTGATTAAACATCAGTCAGAGATGACAAGGTGGGCACCAGGGAGAGAACCATTTCCGAGGAGACAGTGTGTTTCAGCTACAGGCAGGGCGACCGCAGCGACGCCAGGGGGGACAGGACGACCCGCCGCTGAGCCTCCCGGTAGCCGGTGCCCTGGGGGGGTCCCGGGAAGGGGTCTCCGCAGAGTGCCGCAAACAGACGACCGGCCTAAGGCGCGCCGGGGATCTCGCTGGGTCACCGTGGGAAGACTACGTGGCCAAGAAACTCTGAGGACTTGGGCTGAGGATGGGTGGGGGGATCGGCCGCGGCGGACCCGCGTTGGCT